TATTCCTATTTCTGCTAGTAAAGGGTTAGGAGAACTGAGTAATAACTGAGTTATAACCCAAAACTCAATAATGATACAGAGTTTGAGAATTCATCTGCCATTCAGCCAGGTTCTACTGGCAACACTGTGGCTCCCGCTCACCACTTCAGGACGGAAGCCGGCAGGACCGCTTACTTTGAGGTGTCCGATATAGGGAAACAGCTTCTAGCTATTATAATTGTTAAAACCTCTCTAGATTTAGAAATGCTGGCTGCTGGAGCGACGAGACATTGGCAGGCTGAGGAAAAAGTGCCATGGTTGATCTTTTGGAAAACAGTGGTGGAGTTAAGGATGATGTGCAATCGGTCAAGATTAAGGTCAGCCAAACAGATACATGACACCACTAGTTCAGAGAATATAAACCCTTTATTCTCAGGATCATTTATCCCTTATTCACTTCCTATTATGTAACTAACCTGTTTCTCGCCACTTTGCGTTTTTAAAATCAATGAATTTCCATTTAATTCGTATTAAAGGGCTCTCCGTTCTTAGTCGGTTTTCGCCGTTCGGTGGTACAGAAAAATTGTTTTCTTAAATCAATCAAAACTCTAATGGTATTGTGTACTAAAACCTTTGAAATTTCATATCTTTTACGACACCAAGTTGCAAGATATTGTACAGGTAAAGCAACCAGGCTGTTTCTCTATTTTTCATTGTAAACTTCACACCATCATGGGGAAATGCTCGAATGGTGGAGGGAAACTCTATCCAATCAATTGCCACAATTGCCCAGGAGCTGGCTGGGAATTATGATTTGAGTTCATATATTGACAGATAGACATTCTAATTGTGGATAAAACCTTCTCGTGTCCTTTGGGCCTTCCAAATTTTTGTAAGGTGACTTACTGCTTGACAAACAAAATAAAGAACGGCTAGCTAAAAAGAATTCGAGGAAAGGTCACTGGAACTGCTGAGAATTTTAAAAATTATCAACTTCTCTCCAACTTCAACAACAATGGAAAAGATCAAGAATGAGTCAAGAATGAGAGAGAATTTAAAGATCACTCTTTTTTTAGTTTTATCTTTGCTTCTTTCATAAATCCACACAAGCAAGCTCAACTTCAATAAGTACAACAAGGAATAGAATGTTCTGTTAACCTTTTTTGGATTAACTGAACTTTTTATATCCTTGTTTTTGGTTTCTGGTCAGAATTTTTGAAGGATTAATTTCTAGTTGAATGTCACACCGAATTTCTGATAGAATCGCTTTAAGTTGAATGGAAAATTTACGAGAATTTTGCTTAGCTTGCAAAAATTTCCTCCAAAAGTCTCATAGTCCGTGTTTATGAAAAGAGAATTTTCTTGCGCAAATTCCTTTTCCCAAAAAAAGTGTCTTAATTTTTGATGATTCAAAGTGTTTATCAGCTTGCCAAAAGGTCTCAAAATTGCCTAGAAAAGGATAAAAGCCTTATCAATCAGCTCAAGGAAAGCAGAGAAAGGCCTAAGTTTAGAATTCATAAAATAAAAAGATTTCATAAAATTTCGGGCATTAGCTTTCGCAAAAGAATTTCAAAGAAAGTGAAAGCTGATTTTGCTGTTATCAGAGGTTCAGAATTGTCCATGAATTCATTTGCATTCATTCAACGACGAAACAATTTTTGCCGCTTCGATGCCTCAAGGAAATATCATTGGTAATCAGAATTTCACTTTTATACTAGACTAAAGCTTAGAATTAGAGCTTACAGTTAGAGCTATGAATTAGAGCTTACAATTCGTAACATTCTAATAAGTGTTTTCTAAGAACTGTAAGTTCCAATCTAAACAAAACATGCTAAGAATTTCTTGAAAGTTAAAAATAATCCAAACCTTTTTTACCTAGGGACAAAGATAGCTTTGATTGCTGCTGCAGATTATTAAAATTCTAAAAACTACAAAAGCCTTGTATTGGAACCTTTACAGAAATTCTTTCTTTGTAAAAGTTTCTAAAATCCTTTTTCAGCTACTTCTTTTCACCTTTTCTGTGAGAAGTGATGATCCAAATACTCCAAAGCCAGAAAAACGAAAAATTCGGTCTGCAGCCGAAATTTGTCGTCGCGAGTTGGGCCATCATGACCTGACAACCTTAGAGGGAATGGCTGGAATGGGATGGGATAATTTATTGAATTTTGGAGATGGCTGAAGTACTTGATTTGACTTTCGAGAAATGTCTGACCACCCCAGATGGGAAATATCTCGTGCCCGATGATATGTAAATCTATCCAATCAAAAAGATCAACTTGGTCAAGGTGAGAACTTTTTTTGCTTGGAGAGGAAAGAGACTTGGAGACTTAGAATTTTGACTACTCTAGTGAATGACCTTCTATCTAGAGAGCATCACTTTGATTACTGCTATGCTAGCCATTTAATAACAAGTTCAAAGTTTCAGCTTCACTTAATGACCATTTTTGGTTTTCGCTTACCCATTTTACCCATCCAAATTCCTATTTGTAAATAAATATTCGTAAGGACAGATTTTAATTCTACAAGAGCTAGAGAAAGATAAAAACTTAATTCGGTAATCAAAAAAGTAGCAAAGAATATCAGAATCCACAAATTTTAACTTGAATAAAATTTTATTTTTCCTATCTTTTCTTTGTCAATTTTCTTTATTTATTGAAATATAGAAGGGACAATTAAAAGAAATTGTATTAGTTTTGTTAAAATTACAAAAAAATAGATCTGAAGGGGTGAAAATCAGATGGTGATAAGTCTGGACTATATAGAGTACGTGGTAAAACTTTTCATCTTTCGAGGAAAGAGACTTGGAGACTTAGAGTTTTGACTACTCTAGTGAATGACCTTCTTATCTAGAGAGCATCACTTTGATTACTGCTATGCTAGCTAATTAATAACAAGATTAAAGTTTCAGCTTCATTTAATGAAAATCAGATGGTGATAAGTCTGGACTATATGGCGTAAAACCCTTCATCTTAATTCCTCTAACTCCATACAAGAAGCTTTCGCTGTGTGAGCTGGCGCGTTGTCACGGAGAAAATTGACAGTCGAAGGATTTAAGTAGAGAAGACAAGCGCGTAGAGAAGACAAGCACCGTAGTTTTGTAGTTTTTTTAGAATTTTTTACAGCACCGAGCATAATATTAGGTTGTGCAGATGAAACTTCCGTCACACTTGTTTGTTTATATTTTGAACCTAATAAAAGTTTTTATGGAAGATATTTGTCTATCTGAAAGAGCGTCTCTTTGCGCGTCTTTTGATATCTAAGACTTATGTGTTTTACTTAATTTGAAGTAATTTTTAGCTTCTAGAAAATGGTTGACGAAAAATTTCGAGTGCGGGTTTGCTATTTGTATGATTTTAAACAAGGCAGAACGCCTGCGGGAATCTCATCGTGCTCTGTGCAAAGCATTCGGCGATGACGTGTTGTCCGAACGTCAATGTCGGACTTGGTTTCAGTGCTTCCGAGACGGTGATGAGAGTTTGGAAGACGAAAACGCGGGAATCCGCCTCAAATTGTCGACAACGATGAGTTGAAGAACGCTATCGAATCGAATCCATGCCAAAAACTCGGGAGCTTGCAGAGCTGTTTGACTGCGACCATACAACCATTCTCCCGCCATTTGCACGCAATTGGTAAGACGAATCGGTGTGGAAAATAGGTGCCACATCAGCTCACCGACGCAAACAAAGCGGCTCGAGCTACAATGGCTAGAATTCTCGTCCGCCGCGCAAAGACCGCCGGTTTTCTGGACTCCATTGTTACGGCAGATGAAAAGTGGATATGTTACGACAGCACAACAAGAAAACGGGCAGTGGTTGGGCGCCGGTGAACCGCCAAAACTGACTCCCAAACCGAATATCCACGGAAAAAAGGTGATGCTCTGTATTTGGTGGAATAGTAAAGGTCTCGTGTATTTTGAGGTGCTGGATTCGGGCCAAAGAGTCACGGCGGATCTCTACAAAGCCCAATTGAGCCGCGTGGACCAGGCATTGCGTCGTGAAGGCAATAACACGGCGACTACAAAATTCCTCCACGATAACGCTCGACCCCACACCGCAAAAGATCACCCAGCAGAAAATCGAGGAATTGGGCTGGGAAGTTCTGCCTCATCCGCCATATAGCCCGGACTTGGCCCCATCCGACTACCACTTGTTTCGGTCAATGCAGCACTCTCAGCAGAAAAAAATTCAAAAACCGCGAAGAAGTTGAAATCTGGGTGTCCAAATTCCCCCCATATAGCCCGGACTTGGCCCCATCCGACTACCACTTGTTTCGGTCAATGCAGCACTCTCTAGCAGAAAAAGAATTCAAAAACCGCGAAGAAGTTGAAATCTGGGTGTCCAAATTCTTCGAGTCGCAGTTGCCCGAGTTCTTCTCGAAAAGGGCATCCATTCTCTGCGTGGAAGATGGCAAAGAGTCATTAATAATGATGGCGAATATCTTTTTGGATTGAGGTTCTGTATTAGGATTTTTATAATAAATTTTGTTTATGGTTCCAACGGGAAGTTTCATCTGCACCAACCTAATACTTTTAATCCATCATGATCTAAAGCAAATATCAATTAAAAAGTGAAAGCTCTGACTTAGAAAAACATAGAAATAAAGTAAATATCCAAGAGAAAATATACAAAAGAAAATCAAATAAGATTTCCGATTTAAAAAATATAACATTTTATACCAATCGAAATTTCTTTTGCATCGCTTTTCTTTTGCATCGCTTTTCTTTTGCATATAGATGTCGCGCGAGAAAAGCCTTTTAACAGAGATGTTGAAAACTTCTATATTAAATATCTTGCTTTTACGTATGGGCAGCTAATTGTTGCAGCATTTTCATCAGCTTAGTCGGTTCTATAACTTCTCCTTGAGCGTTTGGCGATTGCGAGCTGGGGTACTTCCCTTGTAAGGGCGACCCGGAGCCGAGAAAGCCTAAGACTTCCACAAGTGGTCAGCCGTTTAGTTGGAAGTTACAAAGTAGCTTCTCATTTTCTAACCGTTCTCTGGCAAGATTGAGATCATTGTATTGGATGGCTCAATGGGTAGAGTGCCTGTCTAGAGCCAGAGGTCAAGGGCTCGACTCCCCTAGTGGTAATCAATGTTCTCAAGCAGTTTCCGACTTTAGATCAAAATGTTTTCTAATACTTTTTCTATTTGATATTCCTATCAAATTTAGATGGCCAATTTCCACGAGCACTACCAGAGTTATTTCACCTCGAGAACCGAAAAATCAACCTGGAGGCCGGATATTCGTATGGGCATTTTGGCATCTCCGGCTCCTTCAGCACGACGAATCAGGAGTCGAAGGAGCGATTCGGCCTTGAAAAATCCTCCCTCTTACACACCTCTTTGGATTACAAAGCTTACACGGCTATCGTTCAAGGGCAAACACGATTACATCCGACTTTCCAGGAACGATTGCTTGCCATCAATGATGCGTACATAAATGGGCTACCATGGAGAGCGAGATATCTCGGTATTTTAAAGCTAGTTACTTTTGGTACTCAGAAAACTATGATTGATATGAGTTGTAACTGTGAGAAGTCTAATTTTATTAGATTTGATAACTTTAACTCCAGTGAACTTTGTAAGTCCTCATCTAATAGCGTAGAAAACCGTTCTTGATTATTTTATACTAACACTGATCTCTATCTATTTTATTCGGGATAAGAGACTTCAAAAGCTAAGGCAACTAGAGATTTTAGCCACCCGAATAAACATATTTTTTAGCTGAGTTGATGATCCGTGACTATGGCACTCATGTGATCACGAGGACCGAATTGGGGGCTGTGATCGAGCAGGAGGACTATGTCGAGTCGAATATCCGCGAGCATCAGGAGATTCGTTTCTCGGAGGTGCGCGCGGCTGCATCGGCGAGTTTCCTCTCGAATGTCGGCGTGTTCTCGGGTGGAATCTCCTACTCCACTCAAACCTACACGAAATCGAAGGAACACTTCGAGAACTCGTTGAAACACACACAGATCAAGAGCCGCGGTGGGCCGAATGTGAATCGATTGTTTAGCGTCGAGCCGGGCAGCAACACGGTGAGCTCCTTGCTGGAAAGTTTGCCTAGAATATTGCTTTGCCTGATAGGCCTAGTCAAGCCTAATAGATGGGCCTAATAGCCTAATAATAGATGCAAACCTTTGGTCACGATAAAGGAAACAAAAATTACTCATATTTAGGCCAGTACCGCTCGTCAGAACTGTTCTAGAATAATTTCAAACTCTCCAAAAATGTTGGCTGTGTTTTTCTAGTCAATAATTTCAGAGCCATCTGCTCGTTGACGATCTCGTGGTAATCGATCGGTCCGGAATCCCACTGTTCACGATGATCAACGAGCAAACGATGAGGGGATATGATCACGCGACGATCACACGGATCAGCAATGCAATCCGAAACGCTACTGAGACCTACTATCGGATGAACAAGATTCAAGGATGCATGGATCCGAGGGCACAGAATTTCGATCTAAGGGTTTGTTTGGAGGGTTTATTCATGAGATTTTGGCTCGGATAAGACCAGCCCAATGCGGGTTTTCTATGCCCAAAAGACCAAGCAAATTTGGGCGGTTGGACAAATGCAACCTTTTTTGCGCACCTGGACATTTGAGTCCCTTTTTTAGCTGGAAAAAGCCTTAGGAAAGGCTGTAGAGCTTTAGAAATATTATCATATACGGGAATCGCATGTGTAGAAGGTAAAAAGGCAGTTCCGAAAAGGCAAAAACTGCGGAAAAGCGTTCAGTTGCGTAGTTTTTGCCTTTTAGCCCAAATTTGACGTGACAGCGAAGTCTGATTTGTTGAAATTCGGAATCTACGCATACGATTCCCTTGATAATCCATCAAGACAAGAGGATCCAAATTTTATTCATGATTCTACAGCTTCAATAGCTGAAAATTTCTGTACGTCATAGTAGATTTATCTCTATAATAAAAATTGTAAAGGCCTAATGTGTCTTAAATTTGAATGGTTACACAATTTTTTACTCTACGCGAGTCAGATAAACCTGGAGATACGAAAAGTATGGTTTCTAAGACTTTTAGTATTATTTCCTATGAGCCAATACCGTTTTTCAGTTTGATCGTGTGTCAAGTTTCTACAATTCGTTCTCTAAACCAGTTTTGACTTCCTTAAAAGCAAACTTTGATAATCTATCTGAAAAAAGAAGCATTTTTCTTTAGAACTATACTTTACACAATCAGATTGCTTTTGAAATTATTGATTTTGAGAGTCTCAAACATTGTTAGTCGAGCTTAAAAATGGCGGGAGTTTAAGGGAGTTGCATAAGATTGAAAAAACATTAAAAACGCACTTCAAAAAACAAATTTCTCTTTAAAACGACATATAAAAGATAAAAACAGTCAAATTTTCTAAATTTGGGTTTTATTTTGCTGTATCTTGACAAAGTTTTATTATAAAGACATGTCTATTAATGCGGACAGAACTTTTCAGCCACCCTGTACTAACTTTTAGATAAACTTTTTCCCCATCTTCCTAGCCAGACTTTTTTTCAGGCCAACGTGAATGGCAGTTGCATTGCTTCTTATCACAATGATACGATTGGTGGAGTCTATCAAAAGTGCTCAATCGTGGCTGCACATGAAGGGGTTTTTCGGTTTTTATTGACCCAAAATCTTCGCTCTCCAGGACGAATATGTGGCCGGTTTCTACCCGCATGAACAACAGTCTTTGTGTGCGAATTTCACCCAGAAAAACGGAGCCACCGGCGACTTTAGCTGTCCTGATTTTCACGAAACTATTGAGTTGTTCCATGGAAATATCGGAATTCCCCACCTCGAGATACCATATTGTTGGCAGAAGTGCAGGTGAGTCGTTGAAAAGTCGTCAAATTTGAATATACCGTAAATACTGTAATTGGACCCCCCCCCCCTCTGATAGTACCCCACCCCTAGAGGGGAGGGAAAAAATAATACCCCACCCCTCTAATAGTACCCCACCCCTCTAATAGTACCCCACCCCCACCTAACGCGTAAATACAAACAACTCTTTTAAAGCGGAAAATTTTCATGTACTTTCAGAAATCGTTTGTATTTTTAATTTTATCCCATAAATTTGTTGTTTTTAATTTTTGCGGTGGCTACTTTGCGCCAGATTTTTTGCGCAACTCGCCATAACTTTCTTCTAAGTGGGCCAATCTTTATGATTGTAGTTCTCAACAAGTGCAACAAAGTAACAACGAAATGATAAAGATTGGCCCACTTAGAAGACCTGAATCACTTAGAAGCCACTTGAACTCTGATTGATTGAGGGATTGATATCGGTTTGGCTGAATGGATACGGGATCGTCGAGCCGAGAAGAAACGAGTGACACGCCAGATTATCTGGAATGAAGCGGCTAATCGATTCGAAAAAACTGAAATTTCTTTCAAAAGAAGCCATGGCTGGATGGAGTCGTTCTTGAGGCGCCACCAACTTTCTTTGAGGGCACCAACAACAACTTGTCAAAAGCTGTCGAGCAAATTTGAGAAGACCATCTTCGAGCACATTCTGAGGCTGAGCAAGACAATCAAAGAAGGCGATTACAAGCACATTGTTGCTTGCGATGAGACGGCGGTTTGGCTAGATGCTTCGACGAGCAAGTGCATCGAAGCGGTTGGAGCCAAAGAAGTTGGTGTTAGAGATCAGAGATGGAAATCGGACAGAGACGGAAATCGAGGACCTCTTGGAGCCGCTCGCATCGACGGGATTTCAAGGACATCGAGGAATTGATGATCAAGAAAATGATGAATTCATTGATTCGGATGTTTCTATTGATTTCGCTTGTTAGTTGTTTTTGTTTCGTTTTGCTGTTAAATTTTCGAATGGTTAAAACCAATAAAAGCTAAAGAAAAAGTTTGCTTTTGAACAAATTATTTGAATGTATCCTGATTTGGTAACTTGAATAGTGGTGTAAAATAGTGACCCACCCTCTAATAGTACCCCACCCTAGAGGGGGAGGGAAAAAATAGTACCCCATGGGGTCCAATTACAGTATTTACGGTAAGTAATTTTTGGCCTTTTCTATTAGTTTTCTACCAGTCTTTAATAAGTAGATTTCCAAAAAATTTGTTGCTTTTTGTTCTGAAAGAGTGGTGGCAAAACATCTAAAGTCCATAAAAAGTATTATTAAAAGTTTTGCAAAAGAAAGCAAAAAGTTAAGCGGATTTAAACCAGTGAACAAAAAGCCGTAGATTGAGAACGCGCACATTTCCCACACCATTCAGTCATGAAAGAAAAAAAACCATTATGAATCGTTGATACCCAAATTTGCAACGCGTTTTTCTCAAAAGTCAGGCAAAAACTGATACAACCTCAGAATCCTCATGCCCGAAATACAGTCATGGACAAAAATCTTTTAACGTTGGTTTTTAGAAGTTTGTTTTTTGTATATCTTGGTTCAAATCCGACCAATTTGCAAACGGTTAAAAGATTTAAAGAGCTTATTATCTCTAATTTTAACATTACAAAAAGATGGATTTGACAATTTATCAGGTCATGAACTTTTTAATAAAACAAAAATTGAGCCAAAAATTGGGCCAAAAATTGATGGACAAAAGTCTTTTAACATGTGAGAAAAACATTATGAAAATCAATACTTAGTAGGTCCTCCGCGAGCCGCAATTACTGCTTGAATTCTCCTCGGCATGCTGTCAACCAGATCACGTAGAATTTGGGGTCCAATAGTTGTCCAGACTCGACGGATGAAGTACCAAAGCTCCACTTTTGATCCGAATAGTTTCCCCTTCAATTTCGACTTCACAAACCCCCTTAAGTCCTCGATCACATTCAAATCAGGGCTAGAGGGAGGAGCAGACACAAGTTGAACACGGTTTGCTTTGAACCATCCTAGCACCAGAGCCGTTCCTCCATTGGCGTTCCTCCAATCAATAATTAGTACGTCCTCCGCGAGCCGCAATTACTGGTTGAATTCTCCTTGGCATGCTGTCAACCAGATCATGTAGAATTTGGGTCCAATAGTTGTCCAGACTGACGGATGAAGCACCATCAGTTAGAAAATTTGCATAAATCTTAGAAAATTAGCAAGTAAAAATAAGTAAATAGCAAAGAAAAGGAAATTTGAGGACTAGAAAAAGATTTTGGTACTTGTGGGTTTTACATCCACAAAGACTCATCTCGGTGAAGCATCCCCATGCGAGTCTTCTCGGTTATCGATTCTCGTTCGACTGATCGACTGGTCACTTGAGATGTTGTAATGTTTTTGTAGTGTTAAAATTAGAGATAATAAGCTCTTTAAATCTTTTAACCGTTTGCAAATTGGTCGGATTTGAACCAAGATATACAAAAAACAAACTTCTAAAAACCAACGTTAAAAGAGCTTTGTCCATGACTGTATCTTTTCTCTCACTATGCCAATCCAATTCTTTACCTGAACTTTAGATTATTCCCGTGTTAGATCCCCCAAATAATTGCTGATTTTCTAATGAAGCCTCGACCTAGAAAGGACCTACAATAGAATAGAGCTAGCTAAACGTTTCTTAAGATCCATGCTAAAATTTATTTTTAGCACCTTTAACGGGGGTATCTTCACGAAAAAGTACAATTGTCGGACATATTGCGGGACCCATATCTATAAATATTACGCGAGAATCGAGACATACTATTGCCGAGCGAAACCGTATGTGATGATCCCGAAAGATACCAGTTTTCTCTTTGGAGGTCTCTTCCGACAGGGACAAGTCAATCTATTCACCGGATCGGCCGCTTGTCCAGGTTTTTTTTCATTATAAATTTAATACCACTATTCATCAGGATACTATCAAGAGTACCGGGTTTTCCGTGACACAATCGTGTGTCTGAGCCGAAACTATCAGGCCGATTCGATCTATGAGGTAGAACTAGTCTAAATAGCGATATTGGTATGATAATCAAAGTCTAGATCAAACTCGATCGCTTCTTCTCCTGTCAACAACCAAGAGAAGATCAGAGATGCGGGAGGGATATACCCAGCATATGGTCACCACAGAGAATGGATGCGACGTTTTCTTTTGTGTGAAACCCGATCAACTAAATAGCTATCTTCGTGTCATGATCAAGAGGTGGAAAGTTTGAATACAATAGAGATATGTAAGTCCAGCGCTTGTATGCTACGCTCTGAAAAGTTTCCCGTGGAAAAATTTTACCTTTTCCACCGGCTGCTAGGCTCCGGGAAAGCTTCAGTCGGAAAGTGATTTGGCGGACCCGCAACTTTCTCGCTAATCCTACGCTTCGGGAAACTTTTAACATAGGATTTCAGTAGCTAAAACAGTAGCTTTCCACAGAAAGAAAGAAAAAAACAGAAAGTTTTCCGGCAGAGTTTCCCGGAGCTCTCTCTTTCCCTTTCTCGGAGCGTAGCATACGGCTTCAACCTAATCGGTCAGTCTGACAGACCAAGTCAAACCAAAACCATCTTTTACATCATCATTACGTACCATAATTTCACTTTAATTTAACTAATGACTTTTTTCTGCTTAATCTATTATATAAACATTCATTTTCAGTCCACCATTCGAGGATGTGACCTCGTTAAGCAATGACACGCAAAATACGATCTATTTCTATCACAATGACACTTTCTGGCATAAGGAGAACATGACAATGTTGATCGAGGAGCCGTGAAAATGCTGGTGAAGAGGTGAAGCAAAGTAGATCTGGGGAATTTTCGGCGTCAATTCCAATAAGTGTTCAACGGAAAAATGGCATATCTCAGCCAATTTCACTCTGATCTTTTTGTTTTTGATTTCAATCGATAGAAAATGAAATTCTGTCTTAGTTAATATCAATATCAAAAAGATCGGAATAAAATTGGCTGCGAAATGCCATTTTTCCGTTGAACACTTATTGGAATTGACGCCGAAAATTGCCCAGATCTAAAGCAAATAGTGATCCTGATTTGTATTGTAAAATAAATGAGCTTGCAGAGGTCAGATGAGCAATCTCCTTGGCAATGAATCTCATCCAAGAGTCAGCCTGGAACACTTTGACGAGTTCATCCGCGACGACTATGTGCCCGAGTTTATCAAAATGGAGGTATCCTGATAGCAACCTTAGCAATTGCTCAGCAACCTTAGCAACCTTAGCAATTGCTTAGCAACCTTAGCAATTGCTCAGCAACCTTTTTGACCCTTTCCTCCAAACTGATATCTATGAAACCGACTAAAATTGGGAGAGCCAACTTTCTAAAAAGCAACTTACATCAGAAACTTCAGAAAGAACTTTTCGACGATCATGGCACTAATGGCTCGTCCATCAACGCGTCAACCATGGCTTACATTGGAGGGACGGCGGTCGGAGTGATCATCGCTGTGGCTCTCATCGGATTCGCCGTTCGTCGATACCGGAATCATTCCACTCACTCGCGCCTCGATTCACAATCGACTTTACAAGAGATTCACTAATAAATGACGGTTATAATAATTTGTAAACTGTTATAATACTGGGCAAGACGTAATCTCAGAAAAACGCTGAGTTCGAAGTTCAGACGGTTTCCCATGACACTCTGGACTAGTAGAGCTTAGTGAGTCATCGGTCTTGCTACCTAAAACAACAATCTTTCAAACCGTTGCGGGTGTACAGAATGGTCCACAATCAAGTTTGTGCTAAATTTAAGGCTTTGCAAGCAAAGATCAGCAAGCTTTTTCAATTAAAACACATCGTCAGAATCAATCAAAATGCCTGGTCGCTTGAATTTCTCTAAAAAACCATTTGAATTTTTGAAATTTCAAATTAAAGGTTTCACCTTCAAAAGCAATCCAATTTTTTAAGCTCTTTCTAAAAGAATAGCAAAATTTCTGATTGATTGAAGCTGAAACGCAAAACTTCTAACTCTAAAAAGTTGATGAGTCGGAGAATAGGATTTCAAATTTTAACTGTTGTTTGACGAATTGTTCCAGGAGAAAAAGAAAAGAGAAAGCTCAACTTTGATTTCAATTTGAATTATTTATCTCCTTTCATTTTTGTTTTTGACTTTAAATCTTTCCCTTACAAATAATTCAATTGAAATCAAACTTGAGCTCTTTATTTAAAGATCTAAAACTATTAGGTTGGCAACTTAATAATGACGCGTTTATGTAACAAATCATTTATTTCAAAAAACACAAAAGAAGAGCTTTCAATTCGAAAGGTATTCTCCATTAGTATCTATGACTTCTTCCCATCTTCTGCGCAAATCCCGGATTCCATCCTCGAAGAACTTGGGAGTTTTTGAGGCGAAGTAGTCATTCACTGCTTTGATGACCTGAGCATGATCATCGAACTTTTCTCCCTTCAAAAAGTGCTTCAGCGACCGAAACAAAAAGTAATCTGAAGGAGCCAGATCAGGTGAATAAGACGCGTGGGGCAAAACTTTCCAGCCAAGTTCCTCGATTTTCTTATAAGTGATCTTTGCAGTGTGAGGTTTTGCGTTGTCGTGTAAAAATCTGACTCTCTCCGGTTTGAGCCCCAATTTCTTCAAAGACTCGTTAACTCTCATTAATTGCTTCGAATAAAGATCAGCATCGACGGTTTGGCCAGGTTTCAGCACTTCATAATGCACCAATCCCTTGAAGTTTCATCAGTAACAGAGCATTATCTCCTTCCCATGGATATCAGGTTTGGGAGTGGTTTGAGGGGTCTGCCCAGCAGATAGCCATTGATTTTTGCGTTTAATGTTCTCGTAGTTGATCCACGTTTCGTCAGAAGTCAAAACCCTGTGAAAAAAGTCGTTTGATTTACATTTTTGTAGCAAAATTGAGGCGACATTTTGTTGCTTTGGGTCAGTTCGTGAGGAACCCATTTTCCAACTCGATTCTTTTCCCAAGTTTGTGTAAATAGTTTTTGATTGTCGTATGGGATACTTCAAATATTTCTGCCAACTCACGAACGGTGAGTGTTGGGCAATCTTCAATTAAGGCGAGCAAGTCATCGTCGACCACTTCTGGAGGATGTCCTTGGTGTGGCTCGTCTACGAGGCTTTCATCGCCGCCTTGGAATCTTTGAAACCATCGTTGACATTGCCGAATGTGTATACTTTCCTCCCCAAAAACAGTGATGATCGTGCGATGAGACTCAGCTGGTGATTTTCCTTGTTTAAAATCGTAGAACAATGCAGCTCGAATACGGAATTTTTTGTCCTCCATTTTTTGCCAAAAAGCGAATGATGAAATTTGCAGCACTAAATTTTATTTATGCAGATATCTTTTACTTTGTATATATGCAAAAAAGAGGGAAGAAACGGCGCTTGAAATTACAAAAAACATGTTAAGTAGTGACGCGTCATTATTAAGTTGCCAACCTAATAGTAATTATATTTCTGATAAGGCTATATTTCTCGCAAAGACAACAAATATCAATCAATTAAAAGTTGTTTCTTTGAGAGTTTGTTGTCAACAAGAATCTCGATTTTTTGAACACGAAAAATTGTTTTTCTTAGAAAATGATTTCTCTTTTCTCTATCAATAAAAAAACGATCTTTTCCATACCAATTGATCAACTGTTTTGAGAGAGAAATATAAAATTTCATTGAATTTTATGCTATATTTCTTGCAAAGACAACAAATATCAATCAATTTAAACGTTTTTAAACGAATTTTTTTGCTATTTGATTACTGCAGAAGGAAAGACTTATTGTCAAACTGGTTTTCTGATTTCTCGTCTAAGTTGCTCAAGTTGTGAGTTAAAAACTGGTTTTCTAAAAGAGTAATTGTAGAGTCACGGGATTAGAATGATTGGGAGTTTCCTGTGAATCCCAACTATCTGGCTTTACTGAAGGTATACAGGGTTTAAGAAAAGTTCTGTCACTTCCCTAAAGTTAGTCAAAGCTTAAAAACTGGATTTTGTTTCAGCTCAATGAAGAATATCATAAAAAATAGTAGAATTTTTAAACTATCTATTAGGTAAATGCATAAGAAATGCGGGTTTCAACATTTTCATAAATTTCCAACGATAGAAACCTGATATCGATGTTATAAACTGTTATAACTGTTATAAACTATTTGAAAGTTGTAAATCTCCTCTACAAAATAGGCTAAAACGTGTTTCAATTGATCGAACCATTGAAGAAATTTCGAGGGCGAAATGCGAGTGACCAAAAAAGGAATCGAGTCACTTTAGGGACAAGTTTAGTGTGTTCAAAATAGAGTTAGCTTCCCAGAATTGAAGATTTTTAAAAAAAGGATAACTATATATGAATTCATTAAAAAAGTCTAACGGAAATGCATTTAAAGAAATTTAGATAAAACAGAAAGTTCAAAACCCTCAAAATTGTCAAAAAACCGGCTTTTCACAAAATAGAAAAATTATTGTAAAAACAAAGTTTTCCCATGAAATGATCCCAACTCTTAATTATTTTGAATGATATTTTATTGATAATTTTTTATTGATATTGATAATTTAGGGCATTTTCCATTATATAGTCAAAACCGAACTCTTGTGAAAGTGGGGTTTTCAAAAAGTGCCCTTTTTTGATCACTCGCATTTCGCCCTCGAAATTTCTTCAATGCTTCGATGAATTGAAACACGTTTTAGCCTATTTTGTAGAGGAGATTTACAACTTTCAAATAGTTTATAACAGTTATAACAGTTTATAACATCGATATCCGGTTTCTATCGTTGAAAATTTATGAAAATGTTGAAATCCGCATTTCTAATAGAATTAGAACTCGAATTTTGCAGTATTTACATCAATTATTTTATAGTTTTTCATAAATTGCTCAAGAAAAGCTAGTTTATAGGCTGTTAGTGAGTGAATTTTTGCTTCAATTCGATATATTCAAATTTTACATGCATTTCCCTTATTTCTATTGTTTATTCTAGGCGCAAAATCTCACAGATGATGCGTTTTAAACACTCTCTACGCACAAAACTTTGGATGATTTTCCTGGCGATAACTGTAAGTTGCTTAGATAATATTTTGACAATATATTTAGCCTCTCTTTTTCCTTTAATAACCCTTTTCCTCAAGTTTCAATAAAAGCAAAAACTGAAAAAATAGAACCGTCGTTTTATAGGTCAGAGCGAATTATAGTGACAACTTTTTGGAAAACTAGGAAATGTCTAGCTTATTTCAAAAGTGGCAAGTGTTATATAGAGAATTGTAGTCCCTAATTCTTGGCTACAATTATCTACCAAAAAACTCCCAATTCGGCTTATACAACTCATTTAACAAGCGCTTGAATGAGCGCTAATCGACACCACACCAGCAAACCTATCATTTGACCGCTTTTCTATATAAAATTTTGATTTGGAAACGTTTTTGGTCAAATTTGTGGTAATTGGTTTAAAGATTGTTTTAAATAAATTTATAGCGCTATAAAAGCTGATGTAACGAAATGAATATGAATTGAAAATTCAAAATACTCAATTTTCACCAAAAGGAGCTATGTATGTTTTTAAGTTGATGTCAATTAACTTAAATTTTCGTTATTCCAGTTCAACCAAAAGAGTTTAGTGTGTTTCTTAATGTTATTAAGTAATTCTAAACGCTATTTTTGTATTCAAACCTTTTCTTAACAATAGAGAAAAAGCTCTTTAATAGAGAAAAGCGGTCAAATGATAGGTTTGCTGGTGTGGTGTCGATTAAGCTCATTCAAGACATTCCCTGCTTTTCCAAAAGGTTCCGGTAATTCGCGATCACTTTGTTGAAGATGGGTCTGATTCGAGCCTGATTTGCTTGGATTTGAGCAGCTTGATTTAAACATTACATAATTCTTTTATGCAAATCAAAGATGATTCTCCACTGCAGATCTCTGGAATAATCTTCTTCATCAGTCAATCACAACGGGATCGAGCGAGCGATTCCATGGCTCCATCAAAGAAGAATTCTATCAGATTAGCAGAGGCACAGTCGTTTGTGGTTTTGACAGAAAAATTGACGAATAGTTCTGGAAACGTTTTTTGACAGCTAAAACAAGTTTCAGCATCAAATGAAAGTGCCCAAATTTCGTGGGAAATACTGCTGGAATGGCGAGTGTTTCGTGGTGAGCGATCTTTGGCGCAACACAGCGCCCGATCATCGAGCTCGAGTTGGAGCGTTGACCTTGTGAGTCTAATCTAGAGGATAAATCGAGTCTAATCTAGAGGATAAATTCATTTTCTATAGGCTAGAAAATGCTTTAGGCTGTGTATGAATCAAATGGTAAGAAAATTCAATTTTCCTTCTTTCTTTTCTCTCTCAATTGCTTGTCCAAACCCTATAGGAGACATTGTTTTTAGCTATTTCTTTTGCTAACTCAAATTAACTTAATAATAGGATTTGATGTGGACCCGTGGGATTTCCATAACAAACCATGTAATAACACCCTGAAATCGGAAATCAAAAATCTAAGATAAGAAATAGCCAAACGTTCTCCATTGCAAGATATCATCAAAATGGTTGATTGATTTTACCATACATATAAGCAATTTTCCGAGCTCAAAGCAATATTTAGTTAATTTCCAGTCAAGACACCCATTCGCACTCCTGAGCACACAAAGTTTTGAGGGATGATCGTTTTTGAGATGCCATTGATCCTTCCAACTGGTATCATTATCGAGAAATCAATCAAAAGTCAAATTCTCTTAGACTACATATTTGATTCTTTGAATTCGAGTGGATGACGAGTAAATAAATCATCGCTTCCGATGGGCTATCTCACCGATATCGTCCAAGGGATCTTCTGGACAGGACACTAGAGTTGGACAGTGAGGTGAGACCCTTTTCCTCTTTGATTGAGTTCATTCAAAACAAGACGGAAAGATAGGCGCTATTGAGCCAGACGCAAAGAGATTGGCTAGCTTTGGTTGTTATAGAACCGCTGAGAATACATAAAACTTATTATCCAAGAGCCCTCTATGCTAAATTTAATATCTAGTCGTTAGCTATTGGGTTGGTGAATTGAAACCTGCAGGACTTTGAACTAAAATTGATTGAAAATAAAACCATCAATTCATTCCAAATAATTTCCATTATTATTGATGACTTTTGCCCACTTTACAGGCACTGATTGCGGATTCCTCTTTCGTAGTAGTAGGATTTTGGCTTGTGTGTGAGACAAGTGTTGAGGCTCAAAAATGGAGGACTGGAGATGT